GTACGTAATAATCTAGCTAAGAAGTCCAGAGATGAGACAATCGCGTGCAAGACCGAAGGTTCCGGATTTGAATTCTGCGAGTAGCAGAAGTCATGAATATGCACTGCTGATGAGTCCCGTAGCAGGACGAAACATCAGTCCAGTGCTTCTAGTTTTCTAGCGGTAATATAACAATGATTTATTGATAATTTCAATGTGTAAAAACATTGGTCTCCATTAGTCTAATTGAAAAAATAGCTAAGATTAGTTTGTGATTTAAAAACTATGACATTTCTTTGTTCGCCGCAAAAACCTAAGTATTCATCAGTTTAATAATGCTGACATCTCGAACTGGATTATAAGAATAATTGAATTTACCCAATGTATTCAAATCAACATTGGTACTTCATTTACGATTTGCACCAACTAACTAAATACGCAATTCAACTGAATATGAAGGTCAGTGTATTGCTCCAAAGTCATGTGACGCACTAAACACTTTTTTTCAATATCAGAACAGTGATAAATTTATTTCAAAAGAAATATCTGTACAACACACACAAAACTAATATTGTGGTGCGCGCTACTTACTTATAAGTAGTATATGACGCGAGTAAAAACGTAATGTCTGGCAGCAGAAGAGCGGGGAAGATCAGGAGAAAGGAAGAAGAGTGGGAACACAATGGAATTTGTATGAAACGCATGAATAAGTGAAATGTCAGACAATGGATTGATGATGGATTGAAGATTTGCAAATTAACGATTTACGATACGGTTTTCCTATTTTACTGAGTAACTCTGTAATTTGCGTTAAATACAATTCGGTTGTCTTCACCTGTGCTCTCCTTCACTACAAAACTATTATATAATAACATGCACACAAAACTAATATGACAGCTTACTTAAATTGTCATCAGTTTCGGTGTTATAATCTACAATTACAAGAAGATCACACTGATCTGAGACTTCTTTGTTCAGTAGCTGATCAACTGAGAACAAGGAGTACATGGCCAGCTGTGTTATCATATGCTATAGCAATGAAAACAAATACTGTGACAGAAGATTAAGGTCAAATTAGAACAACCACCTTTATGCTCAATAACAATGATATTACACATGAAATGAAATTATCAAAAATGGGAATAATAACAAACGTTATTCATGTTATCCAAGTTTAACCAGCTTCATAATTAGACGCAACATTCATTTCAAAAGTCATTTATTTATACTTACGAATTGACAATTAACAATAAAAAAAATGCTGTCATTATCAATCATTATAGTAGTAAGCACGCATACAATATGGGTTTTTGGTGGGGGAAGTTACTTGATAATAAAACCGTTAAACCGTTAAACACACACACACACACATACACGCAATGCATCAAATACAATCTATTTAACAGTAAACATACTAAGATCTGTGTACTTAATCATATATATACAGAATATTAAAAAAAAGGACTTTATTATTTGTTTTTTTTCTTCTGAGTTTAAATTTATCATCATTTCAACAGGAATACTGTGACAACTTTCAAATATGTTAGTTAATTTGTTTTGCTAGACAATGGATTGTTCAATGTTCACGGATAGATGGTAAATGGACGGAGTAAAAAAAAGAAAATTGTAACAGGATATTGATTGATCAAAACACTTGATCGATTTATTTGATAAGATGTATGTATACCTTGTTAAATGTTAAAAAAAAGATTACTTTGTTATTTCTCTGATCGAATATAAGTGATGAATGGGGTTGCAAAGATTGTTAAGGTAAACATTTGAAATCATGAGTCAATCAAAGTTAGACCAACATTAGAAACCTGGAAGCACTGGACTGTGGCCGTTTCGTCCCGGTATGGGACTCATCAGCAGTTAGACATTAACACCGTTAGATATCGGCTCAGTGGTCCAGAGTTTAGGCGATCGTGCAAAAGACCGAAGGTCCCAAGTTTGAATCCTGTGGGGTGCAGAAGTCGTGGATGCGCTCTGCTGATGAGTCCCATACCAGGACGAAACGGCCACAGTCCAGTGCTTCCAGGTTTCTAATGGTCGTCTAACTTTGATCGATTCATGATTTCAAATATATAATTGAGTTGATTGATAAAGATGATATGATGTTGACAAGAATTGTTAAAATTTATTTGAGAAATATAACCTGCTGTCATGTGAAGTAAACACCTATAATAAATAAAGTAATCAGTCAGTCATTTATAAGTAAGGTTCGACCAGACACATTTGTCTATCATTGTAAGTTGCCACATCACATCAGTAAAACAAGGTAAAATATTCGAAATAAATTTAAGACTAGTTAGAAGTAAAATTATAGTGATATTAGTAGTAGTAGTAGTAGTAGTAGTAGTAGTAGTAGTAGTAGTAGTAGTAGTAGTAGTAGTAGTAGTAGTAGTAGTAGTAGTAGTAGTAGTAGTAGTAGTGTTACGCATGCACGTAAACATGTCATGTGATATGCTTGAGTTATTACCTTAGTCAGAAAACGAGAGTGAGAATATGGAAACACGACAGGCTACGCCAATCCAAGCGTCCCAACCCACCATTGAGTAAACGAAGAAGACTTGATATGATATAGTACATGTATTCTACAACCATCTAGAAAGCACGAGGTCCGAGTTCAGAAGAGAATCAGGATTCTGGACTCAAGATCCGGGTGCGAGTCCGGGTCATAAAACGTTACAGATGATGCGTATTTAAACAGTTAGGTCGAATAGGAAAAATAACATTGAAGTCTGTGACGTTGACAGTTAGGACGACCGTAATAGTGACCAGTAGAAATGGACCAATGGAATTAGATTCAGGAAACTAATTCTCTTAGGATATTTGCTGAATACCCTGAAGTAGTAGTAGTAGTCCTACTAGTAGCGGGAGTAGTAGGAGAGATTCGATATCGACAAAGGAGGAAGGACATTACGAATAATGCACCTAGGTTCTCAAAGTAGACTATGAGGGAATGTATCGGCATCATTTTCGATGACCCTGAAGCATGACATAGATAGTCTTCAAACACTGGCTGCAATAGTTGGATGAACCATAATCAGGTAGTATTCACCTGTTTATACGGCTTCATCCATTAATCAGAAACTCTACGGAATAATTCGATTTCTTGCTCTGGGTATCCTTAGCCTTCTTTCAGCCGACTTCTACACCGTAAAACATCTCCTTTCAAGGTAGGCCATGGTTTAGCATTATCAAAACATATCTTTACCATCTCAGTTGATGAATAATTACTACCTCATTGACATATCTGTCATCTCTGCTTTGTACTCTTTGCCTAACCTCCAACGTTCCCCACTTGTTGACCTTTAATCAAGTACTAGTAACATACAAATATCCTTCTATTGTATTCTGAATGATCTAAGTAAAAAATAGATTATTTTCCAGTCTACATATTATTCTGTGGACCTACATAACGATGTGTAATCAAGTTATACCACGACTTCTTAGACACTATGGTGTGCCTAAGAATATAGTCAACATCGTACGGAATCCTTATGATGGATTAAATTGAAAGATCGTACATAAACGACAGCTCACAGAATCACTTCATGTAAAGACAGGTGGTGATCAACTGGATCATGAATACGTCAATATCCCCGCGGGGAAGCATGGAATACAGTGGGCAGCTAAGTTGCAGCTGGACGGTCGAGATTTCACAGATGATCTAGCCACTCTATCACAAGAAGCAGCAAAATATGCAGGAGAAGACGACCAGTGTAGCAGCAGCCTCAACAACCATAGGTCTCAACATACACGAGGGAAAAAGCAAGATCTTCCGATACAACACAACGTGCACAAACCAAATCACACTTCACGAAGACGTTCTGGAGGATATACAAAACTTAACATATCCAGACAGAATCATTGACGAGCAAGGCGGACATGATACAGATGTGAAGGCGCGGATCAGCAAAGCAAGGGATGCATTTATAAAACTGACGAACATCAAGAACTCAAAATAACTATCAACAAACACCAATTTTCAATATAAATATCACGACAGTACTGCCGTATAGTACCGAAACTTAAAGGCAAACAAAAGCCATCATTCACATCATATAGATGTTTATTAACAGTCGTCTGAGAAAGATTCTGAGGATCCGTTTGTCAAACACCATCAGCAACAACCTACTTTGGGTGAAAACGAACCGGATTCCAGTGGAGGAAGAAATCAAGAAAAAGAGGTGGAAGTGGATAGGACACACAATGAAGAAAGCACTCAACTACGTCACTAGACAAACCGTAATGCGGAATCCTCAAGCCCAGGTAAAAAGAAGTAGACCATAAAACACGTTACGCCGAGTATTTAAGATTGACATGGAAAAATGATTATCAATTGGACAGAACTGGAAAAGAAGGCTGAGTGCAGAGTAGGATGAAGAATGCTGGTTGGTGGCTTATACTTCAGCATACTTCAGGCATAAAAATCTGATGTTGTTTATCCACCAAATTACAATAAAAACGATATTAACATTTTTTCCACTGGCAATATTGTTGACTTGAAATAATAAACAAATTATTTATCGTGACAAAAACCAATATTCCAATATCGTTGTCATGAGAATAATAAATATATACATCGATTTCTTTGCGCTTATTTTCATTCGTTTCAGTACAGTTGCAAATGCTTATTGATTTCAAATAAGCAAGAGTCTAGCCATTTGATTGCAAAAATTTTTTTTCTATGTCTTGTAGTTCGAATGAGTGCGTTTGTCCTAGCGAAGTACAATTTCTCGATACCAATAGTTATCACATGCCAAGGTCAGAGATGAGTTAGTTGTAATGACTTACTTACTTACTTACTTACTTATACACTTATGCACTTACTTACGTATGCACTTACTTACTTACTTACTTATGCACTTACTTATGCACTTACTTACTTACCTACTTACTTACTTACTTACTTACTTACTGTTGCCCCCAGTCGAGCATAGGTGGCCAACCAGCATTCTCCAACCTACTGTGCACTTGACGTTCCTTTCTACTTCCACCTAAATGTTGTTCATTTTTCTCATATCTGTCTCGATTTCTCAATGCAATGTGTTTTTTGGCCTTCCTCTTTTCTTTTGACCTTGAGGGTTCCAAGTGAGGGCTTATCTTGTGAATCAGTAGGGTGCTTTCTGCAAAGTGTGTCTTATCAAATTCCACCTCTTCCTCTTGATTACTTCCTCCACTCCTCCTCCTCTCCCTCAGTAGGTTTTTGGTTATAGTGTCCGGCCAATGGATCCCCAGTATTTTGAGTAGACAACTGTTAAAAAATGGCTGTATCTTGTGGATGATGGCTTTCATGGTTCTCCAACTGTTCAGTAGTACTGCAGTGAAGGAGAACATAGGTGGGGCAACCGAATTCTATTTAACGAAATTACAGAGTTACTCAGTAAAATCGAAAAACCATATCGCAAATCGTTCAATACCAAATTGCTACATTACGGATCATTGTGGAACAATCAATTGAATGGAACTCACTACTCTACATCAACTTCATCGACTACGAGAAAGCATTTGATAGCGTGAATAGGAAAACACCATGGAGGCTTCTTCGTCACTACGGTGTGCCTGAGAAAATAGTCAACATCATACGGAATTCTTATGATGGATTCAACTGCAAAATCGTACACGGAGGTCAGCTGACAGACTCTTTTGAGGTGAAGACCGGTGTGAGGCAAGGTTGCTTACTCTCACCCTTTCTCTTTCTCCTGGTCATCAGTCGACTGGATTATGAAGACGTCAACGTCTGGAGGTAAGCATGGTATCAACTGGACAGTTAGGACGTAGCTGGACTTTGCAGATGACCTGGCTCTTCTATCGCACACTCAACAACAAATGCAAGAGAAGACGACCAGTGTAGCAGCAGCCTCTGCAGCAGTAGGTCTCAACATACATAAAGGAAAAAGCGAAATTCTCCGATGCAACACAACATGCACCAACCGAATCACGCTTGATGGAGATACCTTGGAGGACGTTAACACCTTTACATATCTGGGCAGCATCATCGACGAGAAAGGTGGATCCGATGCGGATGTGAGTGCACGGATTGGCAAAGCGAGGGCTGCATTTCTACAGTTGAAAAATATCTGGAATTCCAAACAACTTTCAAACAAAACCAAAATCAGGATTTTCAATACAAATGTCAAGACAGTTCTACTGTATGGAGCGGAAACATGGAGAACTACCAAAGCCATCATCCAGAAGATACAAGTGTTTATTAACAGTTGTCTACGCAAAATACTTCGTATTCGTTGGCCAGACAACATCAGCAACAACGAACTGTTGGAGAGAACAAGTCAGATTCCAGTGGAGGAGGAAATCAGGAAGAAGCGGTGGAAGTGGATAGGACATACACTACGAAAAGCACCCAACTGCGTCACTAGACAAGCCCTCACATGGAACCCTCAAGGTAAAAGGAAAAGAGGAAGGCCAAAGAATACATTACGCCGAGAAATAGAGAAAGATATGAGAGGAATGAACAAACATTGGACAGAACCGGAGAGGAAAGCCCAGGACAGAGTTGGTTGGAGAAAACTGGTGGGCGGCCTATGCTCCATTGGGGGTAACAGGCGAAAGTAAAAAGTAAGTAAATCGTTCATTTGCAAAATATCAGTCCATCATATCGAACTGGACTGTTCCTGTTGCAAAACATCAATCCATTATCACTATTCATGCGTTTCATAAAAATTCCATTGTGTTCTAACTATTTCTTTCTTGATCTTCCTCCATCTGCTGCTAGACATTACGTTGACACTCACGTCATATACTACTTATAAGTAGCTCGCACCATAGTACTAGCT